AAGACAATAGAACGTCACTGTGCGTAGAAATTGTACTTTTGTCTTAGTTGCACTATACAAGGCGTTTGCATTGTTTTATTTAAAAAAAAAACTTGTGAATGTGGAAGCGCGTGTTTCTGAACAAAATGACACTGATTATTTTTACAATGATCATGACTTGTCAATGAATGGAAAAAATACCAGGGCTGTTTCGTACTTCTCACCAAAGAGCGAAACAGTGTCTCAGTTTGTTTGTTTGCCAAAATAATAGAAAAAATCAAATCCACGAAACTTTCAATGGGGACTGTTCCGTTGGAACCATTTGAAGAACATTCTCGGTTCCAGGGGATGGGAATGGTTTAGAATTGCATGAACTTAACAATTTCTGGCTAATAATGACAATTTTCGACCATTTACCAAACCTACTATGCTTATATCGAGTCAATGTGTTTTATGGTGCACATACTAGTATTTTGTAGTTGCACTGACTTTAGTAACCAAACCAATCCCATTTATCAAGTATCTATGAGGTCCTCTGCATTCTTCCGTGATCCTACACTTAATTTAACGCAATGACACTATTACACTTTACGTTCGTGTTTCTATCAAATTTATACACTCTCTGTGGTTGAAACGTTGGACAATAAAGATAGTCTTTAACTGTAAACATAACTTGATTTACTGTCATAACCCCTTGAAACAATTGTGTGTAATTTTGACCTTTCGTGGACGAAATATCCACGCATTGACAATTATTGACGTTAATTAATTAATCTACTATTGTATAATACTCATGGTTACACATATCCAATTTGGGTTTCCGTAGTGAACTAAAACAAAACAATTTGCCTGACACTTTATAGGAGCTGAACTGGACTATATTTGACCTCACCATTCCAATAGATCGCGCCCTCTAGTGGTGGGGTGTGTCTTTGACGTCAAATGACATGAATAAGTGGGGGAAATGTCGTTTAAATGGAAGTTTGTGTGTGGTTGTAGTCGTTCGTCGTCTACAATATATATTTTTTTTTTTTTTCAAAACACAATTTCGATCAACGGATGACTACAGATCAAAACGATACCGACGTTTCCAGCTGCTTCGTCACTAGACGGCGCGATTTATAGTAAAGGTGTGTTGAATATGCTAGAAAATGGCACTCGAAAGTTGCAAAAATGTGTTACTGTACAACACGGTTACTAAAAAAGATCTTTTTTAGTAACCGTGGTTCGAATAACGGATATGTGAAAGTCGTTACAAAACAACCAATCTTACCACATACACGTATTTATGTGTCTTGCCGAACACAATGCCCGTAAATTATAGACGTTAGTGCAGCTGCTCGATATACAATTATATGCAAACAAGTATTTTGTTTGATACTGTGTTAATAAATAAATTTAATTATGATTCATCATAAAACAAACACGTTGTTATTGCGGAACACAGTATAATATCCGTGCAATAAACGAGAACAGCGGAGTTTTCTAACACGTATATTGTTTTGGTGACTGCATATGTGTATTTGTGTTTTCATCGAACTGCTGTCATGTGTGAGCAGCGACTTAAAAATTGCTCGTTTAAAAGTCACAGCAAGTAACGTGCAGTCAAGCAACTTGGCAACATTAAAGCTACTAACACACATACACAACAACACATATTGGTAACGGTAGTTCTCTTTTTGGAGGATGTGGTGGCCCTAAAAAGGGCCGTTTGGTTTGTGTATGCTAGACATACGATTTAAGCACGCTCCCCACGGATACGACGGGCGAGTTGGATGTCCTTGGGCATGATGGTGACACGCTTGGCGTGGATAGCGCACAAGTTGGTGTCTTCGAAGAGACCGACGAGGTAGGCTTCGCTGGCTTCCTGCAGTGCCATAACGGCAGAGCTCTGGAAACGAAGATCAGTTTTGAAATCCT